AACTAGTTTCGACTTATGGCGAAACCTTTTGACTTTCGCATAGTTGCGAAACTCTCTAATTTTGGAAACCAACACTAATATCCATGGATATCTACTGGGGCAATTCTTGGGTAATACAAATCAAATTTTGAATGATAATCCAATTAATTACAAATGGTCATTGATGACCGCATGGTCTTGGATGGATATATTGTCTCAAGTATGTAGCTGAAGTTGCTGAAACATTTTGGGCAAAATTAATTTTTATAGGCCCAACTATTTTTATGGTAGTGAGAGATTCAGTATCTGCAATAATTATACCATAATGAGTGTCTGTCCATATACTCTTTCTTTATTAATAGCCGAAATTGGCAAAAATTATTTATAAAATTTCTTCATGTTCAATCTTATAAAAAATATTGAGCTCAAAATATTGCCAATGCTACTTTTTTTTTCCAAAAATAATTTGGTCCAGAAACCTTAATACGGATACTAATACCAAATTCACTCAAAGGTAGTAGTATATAGCTATGGAAGCTATAAAAATGCTAACGGTCATTTGAAATACAACGAAAATTTTTATTTGTTGTAATATTTTTTGCTTTATTACAACTTCCAAAGAACAATTATATTCTCTCCATAACAGTGTGAATAATTACAACACTGTTACAAAAGATTGCAACGATCGTTGCAAATGATTACAATGTTGCTACAAATAATTACAATGCTGTTGCAAACGATTGCGAATAATTACAACACGCTGCAAAGAATTTATGTACTGTTTTGGGAGTCCATTGTTTATCAGATGATTTGGATATTTTCAAAGTTCTATCAATTCTTAACATATAGCTTTTTGACTGAACTATGGAACATTAGATGATTTTCTTCTAAATTTACTGTATAATTTGAAGAGGTTTGAATAATTACAGATCTACTGTCTTCTATCATCATCATGTTAATTTCATTTAAAAATTTGTTATATGATTAATAAATGTTCTTTTTATTTGTTATATATCTTCATTTAAGTTTT